TTTCATCTGCTCTTTACGAAGTAACTAAAACCATACACATCCAATAAGAAAAATATAAGCATGTGGACCAATGGGTATTTGATGAAAAGAAAGTAATTTTGATTAACGAATATCGTCAAATAAATGTCAGTTAATGCTCAAGTCACTCAACTTTTTCGGATAACCAATTGTAATTTCAATTACTATATACATTATGTGGGTGCTAAAATGCACACTAGAAATTTGTTTTCAGATTTATGGGTAAAGAGAGCTACATTTTCAATGATGCTTTGAGAGTTGAATTGCTAAAGAACGAAATGATTTATTGATGAGAATCAACAGTTTACAATCAGAAGTATGAGAATAAAGTATTTGTGAGTATTAGAGTTTAGTAGCAAGTAGGCGATGTCCTTCTCAAGTCATCCTTCTTCTCCTTATATAGGTCTTCGAGTCAGGTCAGCCGCCTCTGAGATCCGTGCATGTATCTCCTCTATTTCAGGTCCGTTCCGAGATTATAGCTGAAGTCTGCACCAACTGCTCCTATATTTCAGGTCCGTTCCGAGATTCTCTCTTGACCTGGTCATTCCTTATTGCAAGCTCTGCATCTCCTCTTTGTGGGCTGATGGGCCTAGTACGAATCTGAGAGCCCAATTAGTGTTTACGGATGTAGATTCGGAGGTGCGAATTCCAGCTCCAACAGTTGCCCCCCAGCCCATTGAGTGAGTGAGCGAGCTCGATGAGCAGATATCCAGGTTAGGTGTGATAGAGGGAATATTGCCTTAGGGACGTCAGACTTGGACTAGATCAAGTTGATTTGACTGTTAGCACGGATCTGCGAACGGACGGCTGAGATTTGAAGCTCTTTTTCGCGAGATATTTGAGTAGAAATGCTGGTTAGGACTTTAGCAGGCTGGACTACGAGTTTGCGTCCTTTTTGACTGATGGATATGAAATGTTTTCTCGGTTCGGATTTAGCAGGTCAGGCTGCGGAGTTGCGGACCTAGGAAACAGATTTTGGCAGATTGGTTTTAGTTGAGCTCCGTTGAGTCAAAACTTCGGCAGGTCAGACTGCATGTTTGTAGACTTTTGGAAGCGAGATGAACGAGTGGATCCGCCAATTTTGAGGCATTGGGCTTGTTGTATCGTAAGATTGCGAATGAAACCACCAGATTATCCTTGACCAGGTTCGTTGCCTGATGGAGTTTGGCGAGGTTGTTTTAGGTGAGCTCCGATGAGCCGAAATTTGTGCAGGTCATGCTACGCATTTACGGAATTTTGGAAGCAAGATCATCGAATGGATCCGCCAACCTTTAAGTATTGGGCTTGTTGTATCGTAAGATTACGAATGGGTCACTTGTGTGAAGTAACGTGATTATGTAGTAGCGAGAGTGAAAGAAAAGGAGGACTGATTTTATTAGACTTGTTTTAAGTACATAAGAAATACATAACGAGACATGGTACATGACTTTATGGACGTTCCTTGGTTCCGAGCTGGTCAGCTTATAGCTTGGCGACGTTCTCTATATCCTGTTTAAAGGGAAGTATGCATGTTAGTGATGGTGGTGTGGCTGCGCTCTTGGGAGGAGCTGCCTACGTACCCCGTCTAGGGATCAAGCCTAATCATAGTTCGATTGTTTTGAGTACTCAGGAATAATATTTTTTTAGATGCATAGCATTTCAGGATCGTAACTCTGGTACCCCTTTTATTACTTTTTCGAGCTTGTAGACCCTGTCACGGACTACTTCTATGATCCGGTAAGGACCTACCCAGTTTGAGAGCTAGGTATGCGGTTTCTTCCTCGGCTCGTGCAAAGTGGAGCGCCTTTTGGAGGGCGTCGTCCAATGTGGCTGGTTGCCGGACCGTGAGTTCCTCGCGGAATCTCGTGGAGAACCATAAGCCGTTGCGGAGGGCTGCTAGGGCAACCTCTTCGTTTAGGTTGGCAATCTTTGATTTGGTCGTTTTAAACTTTTCGATGTAAGATCGCAAAGGTTCATTCTGGAGCTGAGTTAAGTTCCATAGGTCAGCTTTGGATGTTCTGTTTATGATCAATACTGAGTACTGTTTGAGGAACGCAGCTGCGAGTTGGTCAAAATTATCGATGGCGTTTCCTTTGAGGCTTGCGAACCATTCTAGGGCGTAACCTACAAGATTTTCTGCGAAGAAGCGGCAGTGTCTTGCTTCGCTCTCCTAATCAGTTAGGTATGCTCTTGTTATGGCTAGGCGAAAAGCCCTCAGGTGAGCTTTCGGATCGGTAGTGCCATCGTATTCCGGGAAGCTCTGCTTCCCGGCATCGCGAATGCGGAAGTGAGCAATTCTATCCGTGAACGGAGTTCGTCTCGTCTCTTCTATTACTCGATCTATGTCGGGAGCGTAGCTCACCGCCATGTGCATCTTGGAGTGCATTTGGGCCATATTGGCATTAGTCTGCGCAGCGTAGTTGCAGAAGGTTTCTATATCGACGATGCTCCTGGGATCGATCGTTTGCATTTGGTTCGAGGAGTACACTGGTGGGACACTGCGTCGCACGTTGCTAAACGGTATTTGAGGTTTTACGGAACTGTTTTGAAGATTTCCCGTCGAGGTCTGTAATTGGGTAGGACCTGAGGGGAGATCTCCCATTGGAGTTCCTAACTGTGGTAGGTTCCCGGGTATGTGGGAACTTGGTGCGGGTGTTTGGTTTCGTATCCACGTGTACCTGGGTGGCGAGTAGCCTCGTGGTAGGAGCGGTGGAGATGGTAACCTGGGAAAGGTCGGTGTGACTCGCGCCTCTGTTTCCGTAGATGGGTTTCCTAGGGAAGAGAGTGTAGGTGCAGGTCGATCGATTATAGGTGCGAACGCGACCTTTCGATTTATGCGAGGAGTTACCTCTATTCCCGTAAAGTCGAGGTGAGTTCGGGGGGTCGACTCCGAGGGAGTCGTGCTGCTAGGGCGAACGGAGGTCGACACAGGATCTGGGGTTACCTGGGGGAGGAGTCTCCCTGCTTCAGGTAACACGTTGGTGAGCTCACGCTCTTGCTGTTTCATCCGCACAACTAGGCTTCGGTTTAGGATTTCCTGTGTTTGGCTTCTTTCAACCAAGGTAAGGATCATTTTGCGGAGCTCGGCCAGCTCGTCAGCGGATCTCCTGGCGATCTGCTCAGTGATGCTGACTTGGTTGTGTAATGGCAGTTCGATTCGGCTGGGAGATCGCGATGTACTACGATCTCTTCCTCCCTCGACTTGTGCGGGGGAGGAGGTTGTTCCGAGTCGGACGAGGTCGAGTTTTGGAGTAGGTTTTCCGTGTTGTTTTCACAGAGGTCTGCGGTATGGATTCCCGAAGGGAGATCCGTTGGGAGGCGCTGCTCTAAGTCGATGACGTTTGAGATCGGAGCTGAGGAGCCAGATCTCGTGGAATCGGAAGACATGGGATCCATTTTCGTTGTTTTGCAACGGAGGCGTTAGCTTCGGTGTCAGAAGAATCTATTTCTTCCCCACAGACGGTGCCAAAAGGTGGGTGCTAAAATCCACACTAGAAATTTGTTCTTAGATTTATGGGTAAAGAGGGCTAGATTTTCAATGATGCTTTGAGAGTTGAATTGCTAAACAAACGAAAGGATTTATTGATGAGAATCAACAGTTTACAATCAGAAGTATGAGAATAAAGTATTTGTGAGTATTAGAGTTTAGTAGCAAGTAAGCGATGTCCTTCTCAAGTCATCCTTCTTCTCCTAATATAGGTCTTCGAGTCAGGTCAGCCGCCTCCGTCCGTGCCTGTATCTCCTATATTTCAGGTCCGTTCCGAGATTATAGCTGAAGTCTGCACCAACTGCTCCTATATTTCAGATCCGTTCCGAGATTATAGCTGAAGTCTGCACCAACTGCTCCTATATTTCAGGTCCGTTCCGAGATTATAGCTGAAGTCTGCACCAACTGCTCCTATATTTCAGGTCTGTTCCGAGATTCTTTCTTGACCTGGTCCTTCCTTATTGCAAGCTCTGCATCTCCTCTTTGTGGGCTGATGGGCCTGATATGAATCTGAGGGCCCAATTAGTGTTTACGGATGTAGATTCGGAGGTGCGAATTCCAGCTCCAACACATTACATTAGAGAAAAAAACGTAAAAATTGAGTAACATGCATAAGTTGTACTTATTAGTAGATCCAAATGAAGCCTAAGATGAGAAGTCCATGTCTTCAATGTAAGGTAACCTTGAGAGTTGTTCATTTTTCGATTCATCTTTATAATCGTATCAATTTTGAATCATTTGATCTTGGTGACAAACTAAAGACTTTTTTTTTCTTTACTTTTACATAAAGCTCCTCAATGAGCTATTTCAATTTATAAGTTTATATTTCTTGTGCTTGATTATTTAAACATATATTAAAGATCAAGACTTTAATTATTAATATCATGAGTAACTTAATTTTCATAACATTTGACAAAATGATCGGACATTAAATTTTTATAAATCAGAAGAAAAGTTTGATAGTCTCTTTGTAAAAGTAATTACTGAAAGAGTGCGTGTGATTTGCTAATAATAACATTTTGGTACGCAAGTCTTTGCAGGTACATATGTATTGGACTGTCTAGAATTGTCCATTTTTTTTTTTATTATGTCAAGGAGATTTAATTAATTCTTATATATATTTTCAATTTCAATTTATTCTTGATAATTCAATTCGTTTCTTTAGAAACTAACAACCAAGTTGGATAGGTAAGAAATTGCCTTGTCAATATTTATATGTATTTAATATTTTTGTAAATGGTAGAGATTTGGAGTTCAAACAATGAGTTGCATAATTTCTATATCTCATTGACCAAATAATAAAACATGGATTAATTTATCCCCTTTATTAGAATCGGCAGTACAGCAATAATATGCAGATCGATATATTATGTACCTTGAAAGCTTCAAGAGCAAATTAATACTTCCTAAATGCCAACCATTATTAAATGATAACTAGTATCATAAACTGTCTAAGCGGTGATTATAACTATATGTATATATAGGGTTTCCACTTTGTTTACCTATTTAGAGAATTCTAGAGATTTGAGAAGATTCTCTCATCTATCTGCTTAAAGTATATTGTAGTAATGTCGATGATGAATAGTGTGTCCTTAATGTCAGAGCTAATCTTCTCATACTGTAGAGTCCATATCGCGCGGCCACCTTCAATGCCTTCCGTGTGAATGACGGTTATGGTTCCTTCGAGCTTCGTGTAGTAATCCGGGTTTCGCGACTTGGCCATATCACTAGTACTGTAGGCGAGAGGTTTTGCGAGAGACCTGAACCACTCCGAGATCTGAAATCCCTCCATTCTTAACTGAGTCTTTCTCTTCCCTGAAGGTAGAACCTCCCGCACGTCCGACGAAACTTTGGTGAAACATAACAATTAGAGTTTTAATCAAGAAATCTTAATTGAATTATGAATCAATTATGTTTTATGTAATGGGGAATAGTTATACCTTTGTCGTTACGGGGTTTCGCTACCTCCATGTAACCTTGACAGAATTTTTCCACCGGAGACCGGATCTCAAACTCAACAGAGAAATATCCATCTAGTGACATTCTCTAATTGGTGTTTTTTTTTTCTTGGGTGTAATTGGTTTGATAGTAATCGTCTCAATGAAGGTATCTTATATATAGAAAGAGTTTGATGAAAATTTACATTAACTAATTGCATTCTCCTTAAGTCGCTCAATTAATTAAATAATTGATGTCGTATATGGAAGATTATGTAAATTGTGTATAAATTTTTGATTTCTTCTACTAAATTGACGGTTGTAAACGAACCTTTTTAATGGGAAACTAGATTTGGACCCGCACGTTCGTGCGGGATAAATTTTATAAAATTGCAAATCTTAAAACTTTTAAACTAAATATAGTAAAAATTATATAAAATGTGAAAATATTATAGTTTTGATTGATATACAGTAGTGTTACAAAAAATAATTTTATTTTATGTGGTGTATTAATAGTTTGGTGTAAATGGATAAAATTATGGTTAGTGAAGAGTTGTGTATAAATGTTTTAAAACAATAGTGTGTTAACCATGGGAAAACACATGATAATTTTTTAATTGTTGTAATAATTATTTTCTAAATTAATCTTTAAACTGATTATATTATTATATGGTCTGACAATTTTAATGTAGTGATACATATGTTACATATGTTATTTTTTATGTAGTGGACAACATTTTATAGGCTACTAATAAAGCCTTATTAGCCTAATATATATTTACTGATTTTTTAAAATTATTATATTTAATTAAAAATAAATCAAAACATGAGATGAGAGTTTGGATTGTCCAGGGCTTATGAATTGCATTCAAATCACAAAATATTTCGAGATTTTGACGAATCTAAAATCTCTAATTTATTCTAGGAATATTCTATATTTCAAAATACAAAACATCTAGTTTATATTATATTTGGGAAATATAATAACTGTTTCTTAAAACATTGGAATAATCAATGTGGTTTTTATTTCTTCCATCTAAACTAATCAAAATTAATTAGTATAGTTTTATTATGGAAATTTTAAAAATCAAAAATAAACTATGCTTTGTTATTTTCAATTATATTAAATTGGACTGTCGCTTCCGGAAATATCTAACATTACCTTGCCAAATTAAATAAGTTAACATATCTTCAATTTCAAAAAAAAAAATCTTCCATTAATCAGAATTTATTAGTATATTTTCTTAAAGAAATAAATTAAAATCGAAAATATATGATGATATTAAATTGATTTTTTGTTTTCCGGAAATATTTCAAAATATATTACGAAATTAAATAAGTTTACATATATACAATTTTGAAATTAATAGTTCGATTTTTTATGGAAACTACTTTAAAAGATTTCTATAAATCTTGGGTAGTTATTAATTTGTTTATTTTATGAGAACTACTTCAAACAATTTCCATAAATATTGGGTAGTTATTAATTTGTTGTTTAATTTTGGATTTTGTTTTATATAAAAAAAAAACAAATTTCAAATGGATACAATATAATTTTCCGATATATATATATTTCAAATTCAAAAATACCAATGGCATTCTTTGTAATTAATCTACCAAAATAAAGTTATTTATGTTTGAGTGATTCCCAATTAATAGTATAGATTTCCAATTAATAGAATAAATGCATTAATTTTATAATATTAGTTTGACCATTAACGATCTAAAAAGGAAATATAAATCAATTAATAAATTTTAAAAAGGGAAATTTTGTACAAACATAGTTTAGCAGTAACTTTATAATATAAGTTGACCATTGCTTTTATTTTAAAATAATTTGTTTAGATTGTTACCTGCTACATAGAAGCAGTGTTCTAAAAAGCGGTCTAGGCGGTCGCCTAGGCCCCGACTAGGCGCTAGGCTCTCATGCGACGCCTAGATAACCGCCTTGACCACCTAAAACTACATACATTTTGTTTAATATTTTTTTTAATTTCAATTAGAGTTTTATTTATATATATAGTTATAAATATTCTTATATTGTTTAATATAAATATAAATAAATGTTTTATCTAGTTTTTGTTTATAATTTCATAATTTTTGGTTTTATATAGATATTTTATATAACTTTTATATATAATATCATATTTATAATGTTTTATGTTATAAACGTCTAAACCGCCTAAAAAATCGTCTAGGCCCCGATTAGGCGTTCTAGGCGCTAGGCACTGGGTCACCGCCCGCTTAGCGCCTAGCGCTTTCTTGAACACTGCATAGAAGTAAAATAAATATAATTAAGTTGTACAAACATAGTTTAGCAAATATATAATTTTTAATTGGCAACTGACTATCTTTCGTCAAATAGAATCTCCGAGTCCAAGGAGTAAAGCAACACATAATGTTGTTGCTCATTGCATGCATGGCAAGTCTTAATTGATTCGAGTGTCCTTTAAATATGGTTTAATTTGGCTCCACTCGTGCTAGATCGCCAAACCACATTAACGACTCTTCGATTGTTGTCTTTTTTTCATCTACCAACCAATCCGGTCAAACATCGAATAATTTACTCTACGTCTCTACCACATGGATCGATTTTTCAACAATGTTCGAGTTGGCTCCTCTTTATATTTGGGCTTTTGTAAAAAAAGCTTATGGCCTACAACTCTACAAGGCTGCATACATTTTCTTCTCCTATATTTAAATTGAAAAAAAGAACTCTTTTAACATACGGTTTATTTTCCATTAACTTTAAAATACGGTTTTTTTTTTTTTTTTTGATCAAAAAATACGGTTTAGTTATAAATCTCTCTGAAATTGTTCAAATACTACGTACTGATATAAATTCATGGGCATATATGTATCTTGAAAGACACGTAACGTAACGTGCATATACACCAAAAATGAAACTCCGCAATCATAAACGTCGATAATTCATAAAGAGGTTCCACTTTATTCAAATCCTTCATTAGAAAAATCATATAGAGACGATCGAGCCCTCTTATATAACTTAAGATTCTAGTTTTAGGCACTAGATTGCTTAAGGAGATACTCAGCTATCTCTTTGAAGTTCTTGACCGCAAAGTCCTTGATGACGTGTGGGTCATCGATCTCATGGGCGGTCATCTCAAACTCACCGGACCATTTCAGAAGGCTACCACCATCCTTAGGAATACAGGTGATGGTTCCTTTGAAAGTTTTGTAGTACTCCAACATTTCTCCGCCAATGATGCTGTACGACATGCTTTTGTTCTCCAAATCCACTGCTTCAATCCTCTCAGCCAACATCTTCACCAGTGGAGATCCTATATATACGTTTCAGAATAGAAACAATGAACAATTTTTGAATAAATATATGGTGAAAGATAGTCAATGATGAGGACATAGAGCATTTAGGGTTCATACTGAGTTATAGCCCATTAAGTAACATGAATCTATATATATATAGAGAGTTTTTGAAGCCTTAGTGATATGATAAACTGCATTAACTATTTGGATCTGCTCATCCAACTAATTTTTCATCATATGGGTCCTTTTAAAATTAACCAAAAGCTTCTGCATTTGCCATTCTTCGTTGCTACCTCACCCACTCAAAGAGGTGGATGAATCAATAAATTGATGCATGGTTTAACCTTCAGTACAAATAAAATAAAACTGGTTTGGTACTGCTTTTTAAAAATATTTTTGTCGGTGATAAATGTTTTTAAAACATATAGTTGACCAAAAAAAAAATCTATTAAATCTCTAAATCTTTTTCATATATTCATACACGTTATTTTTATGGTTACACTCATCTATATATTTTTTTTCTTATTATGGATTTACTATTTTGAGATAACAAAAATATTACAACTTTTCATATTTTTACAGGACTATATCTACCCTTGGTAACACTTGATTAATTGCAAACGAAAATGAAGTTGAGGATAACCTATAATCGATTTCTCTTCTTTCAATGTTTGTAGATCAAAGTTTCTTAGCAGATTTGCCAGCTAACATGATTATATTTGTGGTACTATATTTATTAAAAAAGATATGTATTACTGCAAAGCAATCTATTTATATTTTTATCGAGACAAAGGCAGCTGTGCAAAATAGATCATAACCATTTTTAAAGTGGTTTTACTTATTCTGTGAAACATAGAAATCTAAATGATCCAAGTAAATAAGTTTTTAAAAAGTACTATAGAAAACAGTAATCATTCTTCTTTTGAACTTTATATCCACAACATTACAGATTCATACATAAAATAACCATATCCAACTTAGTTAAAAATACAAATTTAAAAAATGAGTTCCCGCGATGTCAATTCCTAGTTAGATAAATAATAGTCTATGTTGAGAGTTGCGTCGTCCAGGTGTTTTCCTCTTTGCATGTGATAGTAGAGAATTGGAGCTTCTTTTGCCAATAACTCAGTGGCAATGAGTAATATAATTAGAACCATGACTTATGGGCAACGTTTTCATTTTTCTTCAGCTTTTTAGAATAACCAAATTTAATTTCAATTACTGCACATAACATTTCGGAAAAAAAAAAAACCTAAAGCAAAAATTGGTTAACATGCGTAAGTTATACTACACACCAATGTGAACATGGTGAATTATAAGTTTTAACAAATGAATGTTACAATATATAACTATGTTAGTAAGGGATTCTAGAGATCATAATAGATACATATATTTATGGTTTGTGAGTTGATAATAGTTAATCAGCTCAAGTGATTGTTCCGTTGAATCAGCTCAAGTGTATGTATCAATTTCTTAACTCAAAATGGCAATGCATGAACGTGTTATGAATCGTCCATTACAACATCTATCTAATTCTACTTTATGACTCACAAATTGTTATTTTGTTCATAATGAGTCTGTTAAATTAAAGGGGATATTTACGTGGAAGAAGATATAAATTGTGCAAAGATGATTAATTTCATCTGCTTAATTTAGCAAGTAACGCGGATCATTTTTTGGTATTTAAATGGAAAACCATATTAATAAATTTTTTAAAAAAAGCCATTGCCACGAAAGATTAAACGCTCTAATTTGGTTAAACATTCCATTTTTTTGGTCGGATAAACAATCCAATTTAACATCTCTATACATTAAATATTC